ATAAATTAAACAGTTATCGAGCAAAAATAGCAAGTGTGAAGTTGAAATTTGATGATGAAATTTCACTTATGAATTATGGTATGTGGTCTACGGTCTCCTATCGATGGCAAGGTATTAAAGGTGTCACAAATTATAGTTCGATTTTCGCCGATATCGGTGTTATTGCAGTAGGAGTTTTTTATCAATGCCCGGCTATCGGTCAGCGTTTGTACGACGGATATGTAGACCTTTTCCTTTTGGACCGATCATTTTGAATTATTGAATTAAAAACAAACATGCGTCAAAGTAAAGCACTCAAATTTCGTGCCTTTCTTACTCGTCTATTCGCACAGAAAAAGGAAACGATCCTTTTTGTGCGGAAGATCATGAATTTCTAAATCAGTGTTATCAACGTTAAGAGGTGACTATGATCGAGAAGTTTTAAAATATTTTTGCTCGAAACGATCAGGTGAATGCTCATAATGAGAAAATATTAAAAGAAGTTTGCAGAGAAATGGTCAGAATACCACCTCTCCAAAAACGTTCTGCAAGATCCGATCGTATAACATTAGATACACTAGAATTAGAAGTTGATGCTAAAGTAATGTTAACAAGAAACACAAACATTCCAGATGGCTTTGCTAATGGTAGCTTCTGTACCGTTATTGATTTCTTGTATAATGATGAAGAAACAGTAGTAGTAAAGATAGTCTTAAGATCTGAAGAAGAACGAGTTGGTGTTGAACATTCCTGATGACAATATACTCACTGTCGAAATTTAGGAACAATTTGTGTTGAAAGAACAAATGTTGAATCTGATGAAAATAATCCGATGAATAGCAGAAGTCAATATCTTGGTCAACAGTTTGCCATTAAACTAGTTTGGACAGCAACAGTTGGTAAAATTCGAGGTGAAACTGTACCACCTGGTTCGAAATGTCAACTCTTAATATCGATCGTAATTTACAAACAAAAGACGATAATCTGATTCATTCGTCGCAACAAACACAAATATCTTATTCTTTACAGTTGTCCTCATCGACTACAAATTATATACCACCAGAAACGCTTTTTAAAACCGAACTAAATCAAAAAAAAGCGATTTGAAAATCATTTAGCTATTTTAACATCACATAAAGAACGTAATTCATATCCACGATCACTTTCATATATGCCAAAACCAACGATTAGTGCTGATAATGAATTATTTGTTAATAAATGGAATTCTAT